GGAATAGGCCATCCGTCCGAGCGTAGCAGCCCTAGGCTATCAGCGAATAAGAAGGGAGAAAAACAAAAACAGACTACATAGGAAAGGTACTTTTTCAAACTTGGAATCTCTTGATTCAAACAAGCCTACGACTTAGTGACAGGTAGATTATGTCATCAGTAGGTTTTTTTAAGAATAATGAGATTAATGTAATTCTTATTTATTAGATTACGAATAATAGCAGTTTAATAATTAACTATGTGGTAACATCATGTCTTTATTTACAATAAAAACAATAAATTCACAAGTTTTTTTTTTTAATATCGACAAAAATTATCATAAGTAATTCTTGTGCAAGCCTCACTCGAACGTAATTTAGTGTTGTGATTTTGGGGAAGCTTCAACATAATTTAAGTTTTTCGAGAATCTCTTAGAAAGTATCGACAGTCACAACACTAATTTTATCGACTAAATCTAAAACCGATTACTTCATAACAACCACCGCACACAGACACAGCCTACACCTACGCAAAATGAACGTACACACACAAATACATACTACATCTACGATACATACGATACATAAATTCGTTAAGCTATGTTTTTTTTAGTCAGCTGCCATTTTGTTTAACTCTTTCATAACGATAAAAGTAGATAACATACAAGGCATGATTTAGACAAGAGGCATTATGGACACTGCAACCATGAACTTTTGCTAGACAACCACCTACATTTACTACGATGAATTTGTTTATACCAAGTATCTTTAAATTTCATAAACACTAAATAAAATCTTGTACGCTTGCTGATATAATGACACTATTCGTTGTTCAATATACGCTATTTAATAAAACACAAAACTGAATTTGGGACTATGGACTATCGAGTTTTTATTCCGGATGGGGGAGGAGAGGGGGAGGGGAGGAGAGGGGAATGGGAAAGGGGGAGAGGGGTGGGGGAGGAGAAAGGAGAGTAGAGAAGGAGGAACCATTTTCAAGAATTTTTTAGTTTTTTTAAGGAATATAGGCGACTGGTTCCTGAGGATTCGCTCCTTATCTCCACCTATCCGATATTTCCTCTGTATATCTTTTAAATTGAGATGATCAAGAGATCATAAAGAGATATATAAGCCTTTTGATGACATTCTTCATCGCCAACCAAAACGATAACTTTTTTTTTTTAATTTCAATTAAATTTTCATAAGCATTAAAATGGCAACGTACAAAAAAAACATTTAACTTTGAGTTTGCGTCTCGTTAAGAGAAAAATTGTGATGTTTCATCTACTTTTTGTTACTGTATACAAATAATATTATAAATTCTGAACATGGCGACTATCTCTTGAATATCATTATCCATATCCAAAATTCAGGCTACAATCAAACAAAACAATTCTACACAACTAACTGCCTATATATATTATATATTATTATATTATATTGCATATATTACATTGGTCAAGCGAATACTACAGTTTTTAGTCAGTTTTAATGTCATCGTACATATTATTTCCGTATATGCTAAAAGTTGAACAAAACTTTTTTAACAAGTTCAACAAAGCTTTAATAACTATAGCATTTCCATTCTAAAAAATACCCTCTGACATTTCAAATATTTCATGACGCAACATTGTGGCAAACAATAACATATATTATTACTGTATGGACTGTATCAGTTATATGAAAAATCGTGTGTAATAAAAAAATATCTGGAATCGATCGATTTTTAATAATCAAAATATTCTTTTTTAAGAGATTTTATGACCTGGTAACTAAGACCTTTAAGTCATGTCTTATTTTAATTTATATTCTTAATTTTATGAAAAATGATAATATGGAGTGAAATGAAATGAAGATGATTGATTTGAGACATTAATCAACTGGGATGAAATTTAATGAGATGATATGGGATGAAATAAAATCGCAGTAAAATGGTGGTCATTTACTGAGATTTTTTCAGTGGACTTTTGGAGGAACCCGAGAAGTTACGTCCAGCAGCTTTGTTTCATTTTCCCACATTTGTGCACTTTCACAGATATTAAACAGTTAATAAACCACCATTATTACACATTTAAACCCGAAGAAACACTAAATAGACAAAATAAAACAAATCACACAACTGCACTCCTCGCGTTCCCGCCAAAAATTCCTAATCAAAATATAGATACAGATATTTGTAGACCACAAGTCTGTCTGTCTGTCAACGCTGTCAACTGTCAAACAGTACTTCTTAGATTAGCTATACTACACAGACTACACTACATGTATGGAGGGTAAAAGTAAGGCGCACCATCTTGTATGAGGGATAAGGTGAAAAATTGTCCACCTGTAAACGGAAAGTTATTGTTGGGAGACTCACCGAAATAGCGCTAGTATAGAAAGTGGAAGTTATATGAATATAAGGTTAATAAATAAATAATTATTATTATTATTATAGCAGTTTTAAACAGAATCAAGTGCGCTGGGCTGATAAAATTAATATTTTTCTTCACTTGTGCGGTTAAAAACTATGAATATTAAAAACTATATATATAAGTATTTAAAATTTTAACTTGGAAATGTTTCTTTCCTTATTAATTTATTATCCTATTCAAGTAGTTTACGGCGCTATTTTCAAAATCTCTCCACTTGCTACCATAGCAGCACCATTTTTTTTTTTTTTTCCGGGCCGACGGCCGAACCTCCTACGAGGTCCCCGCGCCTAGGAGGCGCGCGGGGTATGTGAGACTCAACGATCTGCAGGTGTTGAGAGCAGACCGCGGGCCCAAGGAATTTAGGGCCCACCCACTAAACGACTCCCCTGCACTCTTACACCCGGCGTCCGATCTCCGTCCGGGGTCAAAACCCGGTCAGAGTAGGGGGGTTCTCGCGGTCAACACTACAACCAGACACGCGGCGCCACCCCGAGGACGCCCGACCGACGGGTCGTCGAGGCGATAGTCGACGACCAACGACGTCAGTCTCCGCGGTACGGCGGCCCTTCAGGCCGCCCGGGCGATGCCGCTGGTGTTCCGGGATACCCCGCTGGGCCAGAACCAGCCTGCCGGGTCGGAACGCGATACACCGCCGACCGGGTTGCTCTTCCACAGTATGTTCGGCGACGACAGCGACGACGAAAATGCGGACCGCATCGCAGTCCGCAGCCGCCGACGCGTCGTCCCGTCCTCCTGGTGCCAGCGCGCTAGAGTGACGGTAGCGTGCGGCGCAGTCTCAACCCCCTTAGGTCGCCCCGTGACCATCACCGGGAGGCAGCACCATAGCACTACCTTAGTTGGCTTCTTTTCAACACTTTTAATACACCGAGATGTTATTCCTTACTCCTACCCTCCATAACTATATGGAATCGTTTGGAACGTTTTTTTCTAAAGTTATGGCAACACTCAACACAAAAATAATTACAGTAAATACTTCAACTCAAATTTATAAAAACAATTATATCAAAAAGCATGTACATATATTATAATATATAAAAGCCAACAAATGCACACAGTATACAGAATAGAGCGTCTAGTTATCGAATGTTTTGTCTGTCATTGACACTGTCTGAAATGTGCGAGCAAGAATCAAACAAAACATTCAATATGAATCCGACCACAAATAAACTTCAACAATTTTATTGATACAAATATATCTACCGAACCACTGGACCATAGAGGTTATTTTGATAAATTCTTATATGACATTATAAATATTTCGTATATCATCAACATGTTCATAATAATCAATAAACATATATAAATATCTGTTCTCTGTTAAAACTTTAAACAAACTACCAACAACTTTGATTTATTAAAACTGTTTATTTACTTCCAATAATTTTAGCATTGTTCTTGTTACAAAGAAGGGTTGATTTTTTCTTCACTAACTACAATAAAAAGCTTTTTCAGCCATCACCCTCCATTAAGATTTATTGTGCACAACCAACAGACAGTCAAATATGAGCACCCGTGAACACGCGTTATGTCCGTAACTATAGCTTCACTTCAAGGGTGATATGTAACGCCAACATCCAACCCACAAACCCAATGTTCAACTTTGCAAAAACATTGTTTATGGTTTTAATGTAGGTTAAGATAAGATGTCATTTTTTAACTGAAATTAAAGTCGTAAATAGAGGAAAAACTACACACGGATCCCTATAAAAGGTTTTCGGATGAATTAGACGTGAGCTATGACCTTGATGTACAGCATAGCATATATATATCAGGGATTTCTTGAACACGCAATGTACAGCGAAGCCGACATTCACCCCGAGAGGGTAGAGGGGGCGTCAATCATTTTTAAAATACAACGAAATAAATTTTACAATACATTTCGTGCTTAATTTGTCCATACGACCTTCCCAGAAACTATACATATTTTGAGTTTGACATATTGACAGCTGGCTTTTAGATTTATGACGTTCGGTCCAATCCTGTTGTATGATAAACTATCAGTTCCCGTCCGCTTCGCTCGGCGTTTGAAATTAACATTATTATTATTTCTCACCCCCACAAAGATTCTCATCATTAACGCCCCCGCAACTGGTGCAGGGAGTCCAGCACTCGTATAAATATTAGCCTATCCATTAAGTACATGTATTTTCTACATGGATACCAAGTTTCAAGTCAATCGGATACATAGTTCAGTAGTTGTAACGGAACATCCGTAAAAACCACTGTAGATTTATATATTAGTATAGATAACACCTAATTATAGTTTTAATTGTCTAAACTGAAACAGGCACCAGGAAATAAACAATAACGCCATGTAAGATTAACTCCCAGACGTATTAATTAAATTAATGCTATCTGTCAATCACCTTTTTTATGAGGATACCATAACATTTTAAATCATCAAACAAAACCGAATTATTTTAGCATCTTTCAACACCAACTTCAATGTATGATGTTACTTCATGAGGCTAATGGTTCTATATGTGATTTATTTTAGTTCGTGGCTAGCGCGTTTATTCTATGTATCACTATAAATGGCTAATTTAATTTATTCCATTATTTTTAATATTATTACTTTTTTTGAATAGTGTAATTTTTTTTTTAATTTGTTTGGTTAGTAATTCCGGGTAACTTTAAGAATAATTCACAAAAACATTTCAATTACCTTTACTCTAACGTTTGCTTGCAAACGAATTTCAATTGTTGTAAATGTCATTCAAGTATTCTCGTTAATTCGTGGTCTCAACTATTAATAATTGCACCTTAATGTAACTGTAGGTATTATTCACACTTCTGTGTAGAGATGATTGTGTAAATGACAAAAAACTATTCTTTTGAATTTATGATGATTTACATAAAATATAAAGCGCATACATTTACATGGGATCTTGGATCCGCGTCACTAATAAATAAACCAACTACAACATACAATAAGACAATTGACATTACAAAAAAAAAAAAAACAGTGGTTCTCAAACTTTGAACAGCGTATTTAATATTTAACCATTCACATTTCTATTTTAACGCTAGGCAGCGGCTCGGCTCTGCCCCTGGCATTGCTGAAGTCTATGAGCGACGGTAAACACTCACCATCAGGTGGGCCGTCTGCCTACAAGGACAACAAAAAAAAATTTCACCTGTGAGGCACGAAACGGTAAGTCTATTAGGAAACAAACGAATAATGGCGACGTCTAGTCGAGCTCTATCCTCACGTGTCCGGGCAGGGCGCCGCACTGTATCTTGGACTCCTTCAGTTTGTTGAGCGACAAACGCAAGTCCTCCATCGTGATGGGCCGGACCGCGTCCTGGTACTCGTCGTCCGACTCCGTACTCGACCGGTTCTCCTTCTACAAGTTTAATTAAATTCAGATTATTATTATTAATTATAATAATGATAATAATAATAAAATCATTTATTGCCTCACTCACACCACACCACAGTTTTTTTATTTATTTTTTATATTATATATTAATTGTAAGAGAAACTCCACGAAGCAATAAATTTATGCTTAAAAAAAACTTTAAACGTGGTGTCGTAAAATTTGTAAAACGTTTAGATCCACGTCCTGAAGGCCTCGTTTTTAATGATTGAAGGTGTACTGGTGGCCCGGAGGTCTTTTCAGTTTCACCAGGACAGGTGGGTGAGCAAAGGCTCAGCCAGGAGGGGTGGGATTTGCTAACAGCTGCCCGAGCGCCTCCGAAGAAAACTTGACAACTCAAGAGCAGCTGTTTCGCGAATGAATCTACTACCGGATCGGAATCGCGACCCGCTGAGAGAGCGAGAAACTCAGCGGGCTGATGCATGGGTTGGTATACAAAAATTGCTCCAGCACGATTTTTTTTATTGCTTAGTTGGGTGGACGAGCCCGCAGCCCACCTAGTGTTAAGTGGTAACCGGAGCCCATAAACATCCACAACCTAAATGCCGCCACCCACCTTAAGATACGAGTTCTAAGGTCTCAGTATAGTTACAACGGCTGCCCCATCCTTTGAACCGAAATGCATTAATTATTGTTTCACAGCAGAAATAGGCAGGGTGGTGGCATCTAACCGTGTGAACTCACAAGAGGTCCTACCACTAGTAATTACGCAAATTTTATTACACGATGTTATTCCTTCACTGTGGAAGTCAATTGTGAACATTTGTTAAGTACGTATTTCATTAGAAAAATTGGTACCCGCCTGCGGGATTCGAACACCGTTGCATAGCTACATACGAATGTACTAGACGTCATTTCCTTTAGGCCATGATGACTTCGAGTTTTTTTGCTATGTTTTTATACAGTGTAATTATTGTTATAGTCGGCTGTGGACTGACCTGGTTCATCTCCTTGGCCACCTCGTCCCTTGCGAGGTCCCGCACGCGGTACACGGCGGCGTGGCGGCACAGCTCGTGCAGGTCGGAGCCCGAGAAGCCGTCGGTCGCCGCCGCCAGCCGCCGGTACTCGATCTGGAACCGTGCCCGAACGTATTACTTCCACAATTCAATATCTCCTTCTCTCCTTCTCTTCTTACTGGTGGTAGGACCTCTTGGGAGTCCGCGCGGTTAGGTACCACCACGCTGCCTATTTCTGTAATGCGTTTCGGTTTGAAGGGTGGGGCAGCCGTTGTAGCTATACTGAGAACTTAGAACTCATATCTCATATAGGTGGCGGCATTTACTCTGTAGATATCTACGGACTCCGGTAACCACTTAACACCCGGTGGGCTGTGAGCTCGCCCAACCATCTAAGCAATAAAAAAAAAGATGCATTTACATCATCAGAAACCGGCTCGGATTGCAGGATGAGTTTGAGTATCCGTTCCCGTTGCATCTCGCTGGGCATGGGCACGTGGAAGGTGGCGGGCATGCGGCGCTGGATGGCCTTGTCCAAGTCCTGGGGACGGTTCGTTGCACCTGGAACCAAAAACGACACTGTACAATCTCGCACGCCAAAGTATCCTCCTCCGTGCGTCGTATTCCTCAGTGCTGAGGGTCGTGACCTTTACGGAGCACTTTTGTTAGGACTATGTACCTCCATTCCCTCCTGGCCCTAACTCTCAGACAGCCCACTGAGTTTCTCGCGGGATCTTCTCAGTGGGTCGCGTTTCCGATCCGGTGGTAGATTCTGCGAAGCACGGCTCTTGCTAGGGTTCGTGTTAGCAATGTCGTCAGGTTTGAGCCCCGTGAGCTCACCTACTAGTTAAGGTTCCGCTGAAATAGCCTCTCAAGAGTCTCAAGGCCATCAGCTTGGGTAGGAAAAAAAAACATTCCCTCCTGTCCTCCGCGCAGTGGATAGCGACATTGATGCTGGATTGCAAAGTCGTCTTAATTTAATCGGACCAGCGCAATAAAGAAACTAATCGAAAATGGCGTCTATGTACCTGCACTGACCGATGGTAGGGTCAACAAATAAAAAGAAAGATAGAAAGAAAAAGTTGTTTGTTGTAAAGGAAAATATAAAAGAAAATTTCTTTTCTTTAATTTCTCGAGATTCTTCGTTATACACGATTTCGCGTGCATCACTGTGATACATATTATTTACCAGTCAGAACTGATATTTTTTTTGCATGCAGTACGCGCCGTGTGCGACTAAAGACAGCAATAGTTTAGAGTGAGAGCGCATGATCGCCGCCGCCATTTTAGATTCGTTTCTTTATTGGCGTGGCTTATACACATTCATATAATGACTATAATAATATATCTGGTAGTGTAAGCTATTTAATAAATTATCAACAAATTTAGAAACTATTATTGAATATTTAACATAAATGTTTCTTTTGTAATCTATACAAATCATAATCTGATGTTTGTTTTTTTCTAGTACTTGAGAAAACGTTTTTATCATAGCACGATCAACGTATGATAGATGATTCGCAAATAATTTAAAACTTTCCTACAATACAAATATTTCTGTCAAATCTCAATCCGAATAACATATAACACACAAGTACATCACACAAAATCCTCACCCATAATAATGACTGTACAAGTAGGGTCGGTGATGAGTCCGTCCCACAATGACATGAATTGGGTCTTCATCATGGCAGTCGCTTCATGGTCGTGCTGAGTACGCGTACGTAAAAAGGATTCAATTTCATCTGTGAACAAAAAGAAACATAACCAACTTTAACACAACATTAGTGTTGGATGTGAGATGTTTCTTTGTTACTTGACGAAATGTTTTTTTGTTACTTGATGATTTGTTCTTTGATGTTAACTTACCAATAAACACAATACAGGGCTGCAACTTCACTGCGAGGCTGAATACAGCGGCCGCTAGCTTTTGCGTCTCTCCATACCACTTGTCCGTCAACAACGACACGTCTAAATTGATGAAGCTCATCTGTGCTTCCTTCGCTGTCGCTTTGGCTATGAGCGTCTTACCGCAACCTGAGAATCAAAGGGAAGAAAAATTATTAATATGTTTTACCTTCAAACAAAAACAAAAAAGGGGTTTCTCGTAGCGGGTTGTTAGTTTAACCACTTGATTGTCTAGATGCTTTTCTTTTTTTTACTACCTAACTGCCAGTAGCCTCGATGGTCTATTCTGGCTTCACCGACTGATAGGCGTGATCCCACTGAGAAGATCGGGCGACCGACAAACTCAGTAGGTCACATAATGTGACATTAGCACCAAGTGATGCATTCCACATTCAAAGAATTAATAAATAATTTTCCATCATCCATATGGTCGAACAAGTTCACAGAGTCTGTGAAAAAATACGCAAAAGTTTGGAAGAAAAACTCTACTGCTCCTCGGCGTTTCTAGATATACAGCAGGCCTTTGATAAAGTTTGGCATAAAGGCCTCCTGTATAAATTAAAGGCAGCGCTACCTCATCAGTATTATTGTCTGCTAAAATCGTATCTCGCAGACAGATTATTCCAGGTGAAAGAAGGGGATTCTTTGTCACGATTCTGCGATATCTCAGCAGGTGTACCACAGGGATCAGTCCTGGGACCACTATTATATACTATATACACTGCTGACCTACCTGAGGTTAATGATGTTACCACTGCAACATTCGCCGATGATACTGCAATATTGGCGAGTCACACAGATCGTTTTGTAGCATCACAGAGATTGCAAAAAGGTCTTGATAAAATATCCACATGGCTACACAAGTGGCGAATAAGAGCCAGTGCAAACAAGTCGGTACATGTTACATTCACATTGCGAAAAGGTGATTGTCCACCTGTCCATGTTAATAACGCTATATTGCCTCATCAAGACAATGTAAGATACCTGGGAATGCACTTGGACCGCCGNAAAAAGGTCTTGATAAAATATCCACATGGCTACACAAGTGGCGAATAAGAGCCAGTGCAAACAAGTCGGTACATGTTACATTCACATTGCGAAAAGGTGATTGTCCACCTGTCCATGTTAATAACGCTATATTGCCTCATCAAGACAATGTAAGATACCTGGGAATGCACTTGGACCGCCGCCTAACATGGAAACACCATATTCAAACTAAGAGACAGGAACTAAACATCCGATACAAAAATCTCCATTGGCTGTTGGGACGTAACAGCAAGCTGAGTGTTGACAACAAACTTTTAATTTAAAGTTATCCTTAAGCCAGTTTGGCTGTACGGAATCGAATTATGGGGTAGCGCCTGCAATTCGAATATCAGTATTATACAAAGAATGCAAAACTGTATCTTGCGCTCCATAAGTGGTGTTCCGTGGTTGGTCACAAACACTGAAATACACAAAGAACTAGGGATGCCTACAATAATGCAGGAAATCGTAAAATTTAAACAAAAACACCACGAAAGACTGGAAAAGCACCCAAACAATCTGGCTGCTGCCTTGAAAAAACGAAGTTACGGTAAACGGCTCAAGAGAAAAGACGTCATATAGTTCAATGACAAATCTTAAATTTAGAGTAGATGGCTCGCTGGAGTCACGCTCTTACTGACTTAGAAAATTTCAACTCATCTAATAAAAGTACTGGATACTGAAAAAAAAAAAAAAAAAAAAACATTCCATACAATAGTTGTGATGTGAGTACTAACATCTACTAATCTAATAATAATATACTTTATTAGGGGTCATCCATAAAGTACGTCACACGTTAATGGGGAGGGAGGGTATCACCGAAGTGTGACATCGTGTGACAAGGGGCATGGGGGGGTCAATACTTTTGTGACGTCACATGTTAAAATTTAAAATACTAAAACGCAAAGTTTGTATGTGTAATAATTTAGCATTCTCGCTATGCGATAATCTCTCATGCAACGTCATTTAACTTCTAGAGCGGAGCTAGAGTTTATATTTTTCCTCATATAAAGCCGCTAATCAACACAAACAATCGCATAAAAAACAAGAAATGTTACCTATAGCGAAAATTCGTCCTCAAAGAATTGCGGCTAGACGTGCCCGAGAAATTCTCTGTTTAATGAATGATGACGATGCTTTATGGATGGAAGAGAATGATGTCAACACTAAGGATGTTCCTGACGTTCAAATTCAGAACGAAAATGAAGTGCCTGATTTACCAGTAATAGCTGATATAAAAGAGTGGATCCAAAGTCCATGGACACTCGATAATTAAGTTTTTTATCTTTAATTAATATAATTAACCGTTTATTATTTTCTAACTAGTCGTTTGTTTTTTCGGTTTTATGAAATGTTGGACTTTATGTTGATTTTATTAGATTATTATTTAATAAAAATAAGTAAAAAATGAAAATAGCTGTTTTCTCTCGATTATTTTTAAATACATACATAAATTTAAAAAATGTGTGACGTCACATCAGGAGGGGGGGGTTATAAAAATGTGACAACCTGTGNTTATTTAATAAAAATAAGTAAAAAATGAAAATAGCTGTTTTCTCTCGATTATTTTTAAATACATACATAAATTTAAAAAATGTGTGACGTCACATCAGGAGGGGGGGGTTATAAAAATGTGACAACCTGTGACAAGGAGGGGGGGAGGGGTTCAAAAGTCCTAAAATTCGTGTGACGTACTTTATGGATGGCCCCTTACCTAACCATACAGTACTGATTATTAACAAGATCTAATCTGTTATTGTAACAACTGTAATGTCTATCAGCAATAATGATTAGCGCTTTATGGAATAGGACATATACAAGTTGTTGAGGCCTTAAGCTTCAAGGTGAGTACTAATAATTGTCTTGGTTTGTCTATGATCTTTGATTACCATATAAAGTCCAGAAAAGCCAGGAGTCCTCTCATCCCAAGACTGATCTATTCCGATAAATAAAACGATTACATAATACTTGAAATAATTGCAAAATTTTATATTACCAGGAGGTCCATGTAAGAGCACTCCTTTGGGCGGCTGTGTGAGTCTGCTGTCAGCAAACAATTCTCTTTTCTGTATAGGCAAGATAACAGTCTCCCGAAGCTCTTGGATCAAGTTATCTAATCCAGCTATATCTTTCCAGCTTACCTGAAATATATGTTTTTTTTTTATTAACAAAAGTTATCCTTTTTACCAAAATTACTTGTATAGTTATAATTTAAAAAACTTTTGCTCTCTCGAAAACTCCGCTTTTCTTTATTGAGGATTCTTCTTGTCTAAACTTACTCTTTATGAAAATGCATATTAGTGATTACGCAAGCTTGGAAGCTGGATCACCAAAAAGGAAATCATGTAAATCATCAGCCCACCACAACCCCCAAGATTGTCTGACTAAGTAGATATCAATTATACTTACATTAATCTCATCTGGGATAACTAGTTGCGACGCTATGATCATTTCATGGTCCGTAAGTTTGTCCAAAGCAACTGTATGCTTGCCCCCAAGGCCTGCTCTGCAAGATACCCTTAACATACACGGGATGCACCGTGACTCATCATTAATATTAAAAACATATACATAAATAAATACATAATTTATATACAAGTATATTTCTATGAAACCATGTTACTACTTTGAACAAATAGTTTTTATTGCAGAAAATTTAAATGAAATAACTTGATTCATTCCCATCTAAGGTAATAATATATTCATTTTATAATTATTTAATGAACAAAGGATGTGTCTCTGGCCAATTGAATCGGTTCCAATAAAATTGTTTACAATGCAACAACAATGATTTGATGTTTTGGTAATTCTATACATAATATTATTAGTAATTTCTTCGATACGATTTAAGAATATATATAATGCTATTTTTCAATATTCTATAAACAATTGATGAGCTTTACTTAGGTTCTCAATAAAACATACTTTAAAATAAAATACAGTCATTGATTCAGTTATCATGTCTCTTTTGATCAGAATGTATCTAACCAGAATAAACATGTAATAACACCGACCATAATTCCACTAACATCAATATTATTTGTGGAGGTACAATATTTGTTGATCTAAATATATTGAAAAACAAATGCACTTTGTGATGTAATGTGAATGTTATGTTGACCATTCATAACAGATAGATTCAGTCTATATTAAGAGGTTGAATCGGAAGTTGATTGAACAATTTCTTCAATGCAAACAGAGAATATGAGATTAACAAAGTTGGTATCGCTATAAAGTTAACTTAAATTAAGTTAAGTTAACATAGCTTACGGAGAACATAATTAGTTAAAAACCGAATTCTATTATATGTTTTGTAGCAAAGCCAGATCTCTATTAACCACATTCTTTCAATGTTTTAAGAATAACTACAGCTTTTGTAGGAGTAGACTATTTAAGAGAACCAATCAAACTCAACAGACTGTACATATGGTAACTTTAAGAGCAAAATAGTGGGTATGCCTAATGCACATTCAATTCTATTTTCAAACTTTTTCTACTAATGAGGTTATGTCCAGTCTTGTATGAATAAAAAAAGGACAATTTGAATATGATGTAAGTAAGTTATGTACATGCGTATTATATTTCGCAGTAATTTTTTTCTTTTTGCAAATATAAAGATTTTAAAGACAGATGACATTGTGTACAGCGATCGATACATACTTGCGTAACTGTTCCCGCGCTCGCTCCTCGGCCTTCTTCCGACTCTTGGAAGTGGGATCTATTTGGTTCACCAGCCACTTGATGGAGAAATAAGTCACTGCAGACACAAATGCGACCCTTATAGCCATTTGGAACACTTCGTTCCGAGTAAATGAGCCTTCCACCATCATTCCTGCACACTTTAATAGTATTTTAATAAATAAATATATATGGAAGCTGTAGCTTGCTCAAAGGTGCTTTTAATTTTAATCTAGTCCGAAATTGTTAAAGCAGAATCCCCGACCGTCACACATTTGTGAATTTTTGATAGACAAAGTCTAACTTTTTTAATATTTTGACAACTAATACTAGGGCTGCAGAGGTAATTTCCCCATATTTATCTCCAAATCTCCCTAAAATCTTTTTATCTCAATTTAACACCTTGTAAAAAAAATACATTCCAAGTTTTGTAGTCTATTCTAAGAGTTAATAAACAGTGTGAACAATTTTTCACTGGGTTTTCAGTTCGTACGGAACAAGAAAATTTTCATCGTGAAATACGAAATTTTCGTGATAATCTCTGATGTGCTCGTCGAGTATCACGCCGACGCCGCGACGTGACTATTTTGGTTTTTAAAGGTCACAAATACCAATGTATCTACGGCAATATTATTTAATATACGTTCACGAACAAAGTCTGATGATCAAAAGCGCAAATGTATATTTTTTTACTTATTGCTTACATGAGTGAATGAGCCTACAGCAGAGTTTAACATACTCCCTAAGAACACTCCAAAACTGGCAAAGATTATATTGTACTTAACGGTGCTTGCGAAGAGCTATAAATTATCCTGTGCATCCTGTGTGTGCAAATTATCCGTGAATTACCTTGTTTATTCAATTTATGTTTCTTTTGGAGTAAATAAGTTCCTCATACACAGGATTGGGGGGTAGATGTTGCTTGCGTCCGTAGGATTACCATCTTTTCCTAGACCCTCCCTACACGTGCCCTCCGGGTGGTGCAAAATGAGCAACAACGCCGAGCTACAGGCGGCGGTTAATTAACCTGAATAATGGTAACCACAAACCATGAGGACTAAATTCCCTCAATAAGAGTGGCGATGGTACCTTGGGAAAGTATCATTAGTATTTCTCCCAACCCCTTTATAAAANTGGTGTTCCGTGGTTGGTCACAAACACTGAAATACACAAAGAACTAGGGATGCCTACAATATTGCAGGAAATCATAAAATTTAAACAAAAACACCACGAAAGACTGGAAAAGCACCCAAACAATCTGGCTGCCGCCTTGAAAAAACGTAGTTACGGTAAACGGCTCAAGAGAAAAGACGTCATATAGTTCAATGACAAATCTTAAATTTAGAGTAGATGGCTCGCTGGAGTCACGCTCTTACTGACTTAGAAAATTTCAACTCATCTAATAAAAGTACTGGATACTGATTGTAGATAAAAAAAAAAAAAAAAAAAATACACAGGATTGCACGAAATCCCAATAGTCAGGGGCGCTAGCTGATGCGCCAACGGAGCAGTCCATTTTTTGTTTTGTTCGTTCGACTTTACCATTTGTACAATAGAAATTGCTTCAGTTTCTCAAAAATATTAGGCTGTGCACGCTATGCTCTTTTCACCTGTTCAGTGGAGGAATCTAAAAAAAGGTCTATGGTCTTGGCCATAGATTGCTTTATGTTGTCAACAATGTCAAGTGTCAGAAATAATAATTGCTGTAAGTGTCAGGTAAATGGTCAAATCAAAATAATAGTAACCTAAAAAAATTGCCCAAACTTCTCATAAACATCAAACCAACCTAACAATGAAGAAAAAACCTGTACCTCATTTAAAGTTTGAAAATAGTCGTAAGACCATACGCAAACAGAAAAGGCAGCAAAAAAAAATTCATCGCCAGGAACATTATTTGAAGAAAAAAACCCCACAACAGTCTATAATTCATCCCCAGCATACTCCGGGAAGGTTCGTAAAGAGACCAGCAGATGGACAAGATACTACAGAAATGAAGGTTTTTAAATTTCTAACTTTTAAGCAATATTAAGGAATTTTTCTAAGGAATTTTAAACTCACAAAGTTTTACCTATAAATATATTATATTTTTAAAGATAACTAAGTAATACTAATGCGGATGCTGTCATACTAAAATAAAGTATCAATTAAATTAATTTAGGAATCTATTATCAGGTGGCACAGTTAATAAAACACAGGTCATTTTTAGAAAAAAAGAAAGAAACCCAATGCGCCAAGCTATGACATCCTTAACAAAGAGAGACAAAAGGAAATCAACGAAGCAGACCAATTAAAGTCAGAAATGGAAGAACAGCGACGGAAGATACTCCTCAAAGCCAATGAGGAAGAAGATCGCCTGATAAAAAAGCTTGAGAAACAAATGGGCCTAAATAAATCTAAAAACAAGAACAATTACTTTTCTGAAGATGGTTTGGACTGTATCCTTTCAATAAACCCATATTTTTTTATAAATCAAAAATTTAAATCTGTCATAAACACCTGTCAAGTTTCCTAGTGAGTTACCAGACTTTATTAATTCATATTAAAGTTGATGATATTAAAATTTATATAAAACTGGTTTCTAAAAAAACCTACTAATTAAACTAACAGTATTCTATTTGGAAGAAAGTCTATTTCAAACATGATTGTTTCCATTCTACAAAATACACAGACCTTTTAGAAATATGTGACAGATCAACAACAGAACAGATAGTGGCTGCAGAAAAACATTTAGCTGAAGTTGATGGTGATTCAGACTTTGAAGAAGACATAGCAATTGTTACAGGAAAAGACAAACACCAAAAGAAATCTCAGGAAGTAGATCCACACAATAGTGATGAGAAATTTGACAATAGTGAAGAGAGTTGTGCTGAAGAGGCAGAAGATGGTTTGAGTGATGAATATGATGATTTGGATGATGATTATGATGGAACAGATAGTGAGCTTGAAGGTAAGATGACTTAATGCTCCCTTGATGAAACAAAACGAAACTTTATATGATAGGAGATTTGAACTACCTACTTGCCTTAGTTTGATAGCCACATTTATTTAATCACTTTGATACTTCTTTTGATTGAAAGGCTTGCTATTGCTATTGTAGTATCATTGGGTAATATCATATCTTTAGAATAGAAGCATGTTGGTTGGTAAGCCTTGTGAATGGTAGACCCTAGATTGGCAAATGGACATAGAGATTATTGGCAGTATGACACAAAAAATTTAAAGGGTCTAGTGACCTCTCAATTAATAAGATAAGTGAAACGGTTAAAAATATAATAAATAATACTACTTCTACTATGATGAATGATTAGGGTAGAGTAGACAATAGCAATCTAAATGTCCATCACAAATATAACTTTTGATTAAAATTGCATTTGCAGACTTAACTTATAGATAAACTATTATTTCCAGAAAAACCGAAAATCTCTAGCAAAAACAAAACAGACAAAAAGAAAATTAATGAAAGAACAGTAAAAGAAGAATCAAGCAATGTTAGTAGTGAAGATGAAAAATCATACCTATCCAGTGATAGTGATGAAAGTGATTTAAATGATGAACCAGAAGGTAAACTAACAAGATTATGTTATATTGTATAGGAAAAAGTAAATGCACCACTCTATATTACTAGAGAAGGAATCTATCAAAAACTTGTACAAACAAATGTGAACAGTGAGGTACACATAGCTAAAATTAGCATTGTAATTACTTTAGAATACAACCAAAATTAAAACTACTTACTACAAGAAGAATTAGAAATAGAGTATCTCCCAAGTGGCCATTAGATTTACACATATGAAACAATGAAACACTACTGTTTGGTATTTGTATAGACTACAGTGTTGTTAAAACACTTAAACTTGGATAAGCAAGGCGTCTTTTTGATAATCTGACACTGTTTTATAGGAACAATGATATCAGAATTTCATTGATTCCTGTAGGATCAATCGTATTCTTAAACACAAAAAAATATTTACAAAATGCTTCCAAAGATATGAGACAAAATCACAATATAATATGTATAATAATATGTATTGAGGAGTGAAATGTTATTTGGTTTAAGCAACATTTCCTTTAACACATGTTTTTTTTCTTTGTAACTATAGGATCCTTTTATTTGGTAATAACATCAACAGTTCAATGTTTTTAATTTAACTTCAATCAAATTTACTCCGTTGAAATAGCTGAAGAAGGTTGTTTTGTTATAATAATTTTTCTAATTTTAAACTTTAAATAGATCTCCTGCAAAGTTGCAAAAATGTTGCTTAAATCAAATGGCCTTTGACCCCTCGATATATTTGATGCAGTGCTCTCTGATACAAAATATTTTTTTCTACTTCTAGGAAAACAGATTAAGAAGACAAAAGAAGAGAAAAAAGAAAGAATAATTAAAGCGGATGACATATCTAAAGTGTTCAGTGATGATGAGATCTCTCATTTGTCTAGCGATGATATAGATGATGAAAACGTTGAACCTAATGAGAAACCTGACATTTGGGAAGATATATATGGACGTAAGAGAGATAAAGACGGTAATGTCATAAAGGTAATTTTAGTATTTTTTTATTAATCTAGATCGATGAATTAATCCATGATCCATCTGAAGTTCATAAAAACCATACTTTAAGCCTTAGGTTTAAGTATATCTCTATTGTGATTGCATGACTGTCTCGCACATTCAGATTTTTTTTTCTTTTGTGCCATTGTAAGAAGACAAGCAAAGGGATTACCATCCTTATTATGGACATTAGATGGGAGGGCCACAGCAAGATATTGCATTTGTATATATTATTAGCTGACCCGGCAGACTTCGTAGTGCCTCAATCTAACAATAAAAGACCTAAACTTTTGTATAAAATAAACTTAAAACAAACAAAAGGAATCCGTCCGACAGGGGACACATCACAGAAAAAACAATTTTGCTATTTTTATTGAATTTCGAGCATTTTTATTCATTTATCTACCTTTTAAACCTTCTCTGGACTTCCACAAATGATTCAAGACCAATATTAGACAAATCGGTCCAGCCGTTCTCGAGTTTTAGCGAGACTAACGAACAGCAATTCATTTTTATATATACAGATGAATTGATGAATTTTAATATTGAATCTAGAGAAAATTTAAGGTTAATTTAAGGTGGTAAAATAACATGAAAAATGGTAATTTATTCATAATGTTTAGTTAATCCAATGGGTATCTTCAGTGGGGATCTATTATTCTAGGTCTGATTATGTGATCAAAAAAGTCAGTTGGAAATATTTGAGTGTACATATATGTATTTTTTATTTGTTTGACTTATTCCTTTTTCATATACCATAATATTCATAAGATTTGTATTAAGATATTGTGTTTGTGATAGTTATTTTGTTTTTGTTTACAGGAACAAAAAGGTACATACATACCGCCCCATCTACGTAACAAAGACGTTGCACTAGAAAAAGATTTGACACAACTCAAGAGGCAAATAAAAAGTAAGAATATTACTAAGCACATTCCTGCTTCATGTAATTTTGCATGGTCAAGTTTAAGAGGTCACTGGAGTTGACTGACACTACAATGTTAATATTTTGTTTGAAAGTCATCTTAACTTAGACATTGTACTCATATCCAGTGGTGAGACTGCAAGTTTCATATCTTGCAGGCAGGTCCCAACGTTAGGCAATCTATGCAAGATAATTGAGACTTCTATCTTATGTCTGTCTCATTACCTTATGATGTTTATTAGCTCTAATTACTCAGCTGATACCTCATTAGGCGAAAAAGTTTTCTCCCTTCTTAGAAAAAATACTTTGTTGTGTTTGGATAATGAGTAGGGTAAAACCACGGAATAGATAAATAAGGTTGGAAAGGCCTTTGCTCTAATTTTGTATCAGAACCAGTGTCGCCGCTTCATCCCCACTATTTTAATTTCTACACATACACATACTGTGATTACAAGTATTTCGCACACAACAAAAACACCCACACATAAATCTCAGGACAGATATTCGTTCGCAAACTAGCACAAAACACCCGTAGGCATACACACTCACACACGCAAAAAGGCAATAAAAATTTTCGTACACGCTAGTGCTTGATAAAATCGATATTCTTTATCGATAAATTATCTGATGAATGAATGGAGAAAATGAAACATGAAATAAATATTGAAAAAGAAAACTATTTTACTTTTATTAATTACAAATAGTCACTGTCCCTGGAATAAAACGTATTTGTGAAGCAGTTGGCGCTTGCTATTAATTGCGAATGAATTTTTCAAAACTAAGTGTATTCTGATTTTTTTATGGTAAAATCATTTTCAGTAAAATGTTTAGAGCAAATAGTACTCGTCTTTGTCTCCAGTTTCCTCTACCTGTCACGTCAATCCATTTTTCAATGGCGTTAGGTTCTTTAGGAAACCTAAAATTTTTAATTTACTGCATAAGTCAAATAGCATTTTACTTAGATTTTAATACGTCTTAGACAATATAGTAAATACCCGTAAATGAGAGGTCTACATGTCCCTTTATATTATACCTTCACATTAATTCAATGATAATAATTCAATAATAATAATACATATTTATTTTACTCAAAATACGTCTCACTAAGAATATACTAGGTATCATTAATTAAATATAAAATAATGCAAAAATTATCCATGTCAAATGTAAATATAGTCGAGAATTCTGTCGATGATTTTATTTCACCACATGGTCACCTCACTATCGACAAACTGCACCACGGCCAATCAGGGCAAAGGCCGAAATTTCAAAGATTGAAGTGTAGAGAACGCAATGCATGTAGTACATTGGAAGCTGACTTGGTCATTGCGTTCATTGGGCGAGTACACATCGCGCAATGTATGCTATTTATAACTTGCTGCAATAATATTGTTAATGTTTGGAATTTCATAATGCTCAGTATATTTTTATGTTTTAGACAAATAATATTGTAATTAAATGGTAATTTCGACTTACCGATCGAAAGATATACCTCCTCGCTCTATACTTGAGGTCTGATTTTTTGTTTTACAAGTTATAATTGCACAACACGGCACTATAAAGCGGAGATCTGTTCGCCAAAGTAGTCCGAAGCGCACTAAACGCGGTGAATGAAAGAATCGGTCGAGTTATGTTTGTACAATCATAACTGTGGCACGCTTGCCCCGCCTACATTACCATTCCAACCTTATTTATCTATTCCGTGGTAATTACTCATCAAAAAAGAGCTGTGTATGCCAATGCCACTGAGTCAATTTGAATCCATATTAAATTATTGTTTTTTTTTTATGGGATTTTATGACCTGGTAACTAAGACCTTTAGGTCAAGTCTTATAAAATAATCTTTTTTTTTCAAGTTCCTGAACATATCACATTTTCAGAGATGTGCCCTTTTCGAAATTGCATATTCAATTTATATTCTTATTTTAATGAAAAATGATAATATGAAGTGAAATGAAATGAGATGATATGGTACGAATCTCAGTAAAATGGTCGTCATTTACTGAGACTTTTTCAATGGACTTTTTGGAGGAACCCTAGAAGTTACGTCCAGTGGTTTTGTTTCATTTTTCCACATTTGTGCACTTTCACAGATATTAAACAGCTAATAAACCACCGTTATTATACGTTTAAACCTGAAGAAACACTAAATAGACAAAATAAAATGAATCATACAACTTCACTCCTCGCGTTCCCGCCCAAAAACTCCCATTAAATTATTGTGTTTTGAAAATGTCCAGGTGTGCTGAACAAGCTGGCGGGCACGAACCTGCACTGGGCCTGCACGTCCATAGAGAACCTGTACGGCAACAACAGCAGGCACGCAGTCAACACCAGCCTCAGCGATCTGTGGCTGCACGCGACCGTGGCGCCCCCCGCCCCCAACCCCGCACTCCCCGCCCCCGCCGCGCCCGCCCGCCTCGTGGCCGAGCACGCCGCGCTGGTCGCCGTGCTGCATGCTAATGTTGGATCCGAAATAGGTTAGTAAATATACATACATGTATTTAAAATCTTATATACTTATCGGCACAACATTACTTTTTTTTTATTGCTTAGATGGGTGGAAGTGACAATCGGTTTGATTTTGATTACAAGATGTTATTCCTTCACCGTGGAGGTCAATTGTGAACACTTGTTAAATAGGTACGTATTTCATCAGAAAAATTGGTACCCGCCTGCGGGATTCGAACTCCGGTGCATCGCTAGATACGAATCCACCGGACGTCTTATCCTTTAAGCCGCGACAACAACAACAATGTTGTCCCGCCACCCACTTTGAGATATAAGTTTTAAGGTCTCAGTATAGTTTCATGGTTGCCCCCCCCCCCCCCCTTCAAACCGAAACGCATTACTGCTTCACGGCAAAAATAGGCGAGGTGGTGGTGCCTATCCGTGCGGACCCAAAAAAGACATGAGAAGCTTCAGCTTTCAAATGAAACATAATCATCAAGATCTATTCACCAAGAAAAACTCATCCTATTTTTAAAGTCTGTTGAAACACTTCAATCGCATTTACAATAATTGAGAGGTCTATTTTGATAACAATTAGGGATAAACTAGATTTGAGGTCGTCGTGGCCTAAGGAAGACGTCCGGTGCCGTCGTGTTGAGCGATGCACCGATGTTCAAATCCCAGGCGGGTACCAATTTTTGTGATGAAATACGTACCTATTTAACAAGTGTTCACAGTTGATCTCCACAGTGAAGGAATAACATCTTGTAATAAAAATCAAACCGGCAAAATTATAATTTGCGTAATTACTGGCCTGCGTAATTACTACCTCTTGTGAGTCCGCACGAGTAGGTACCACCACCCCGTCTATTTCTGCCGTGAAGTAGTAATGCGTTTCGGTTTGAAGGGGGGGGGGCAGCCATTGTAACTATACCTGAGACCTTAGAACTTATATCTCAAGGTGGGTGGCGCATTTACGTTGTAGATGTTTATGGGTTCCAGTAACTACCTAAACCCAGGTAGGCTGTGAGCTCGTCCACCCGTCTAAGCAATAAAAAAAAAAACAAATATGGCTGCCGTGGCTGATGGGGAATGGGAGCGGCAGAGCACATTGGTGATGAGTTTAATCCGGCCACTTACCGTGTGCACAATGTTCCAGGGGCGCATTTCCTCCAAGTACTATGTAAAGAGTTCGACAGGGCGATGCAGACCCCGCAGCCGGTTGAGGATAAGCGCCTGGACAACCTCGTCTCCTGTCTCTCGTATCTCTACACCTTCAAGGTATGGATCATGTAGGACTGGTAAGAATGGAACGTACCCCGGCACGACACACGCTCAGTGAAATCATGCCGATAAAATAATGATGGAGTCGACATTTCCGACGTGTCTCCCATGCAGCCTGGCGATTTGCAACACAGGACTTCGTGTTTAAATTCCAATTAGTACCAACACCAAACTCTTTCAGAAGTTTATTCTAATTTGATACAATTTCTAAATTTTATTAATGCATTGTATTGTATTCTAAACCTTTAAGAGAAATAAATAAAATATTACTGTTACGCGCTGGGGTTCGGGATAATTTTTTTTTATTTTTTTTTTATTTTTTATTTCTTAGATGGGTGGACGGGCTCACAACCCACCTGGTGTTAAGTGGTTACTGGAGCCCATAGACATTTACGACGTAAATGCGCCACCCACCTTGAGATATAAGTTCTAAGGTCTCAGTATAGTTACAACGGCTGCCCCACCCTTCAAACCGAAACGCATTACTGCTTCACGGCAGAAATAATAAATAAAATTACATCAAAGTACAACTAAAAACTGTATTAGAACAATTAAAACACTCAACAAACACCTTAAAACTCTCAATTCGCTTGTTCCGCTTAGCTTCAGGTGATCCGCTCGCTGTTTCGCTTCGAGGAGTTCCGATTACTGACTGACGGCGTGCCATCCCTGCAACGCTTATATAGTCGATACCTCATCCCTAGAATTATCGAGAATATTCCACACATCTCTAGTATTGTGTTTCCGCTATCTGACAATAGATGGCGTTGTACTTCTCGAGCGTTCTAGGTGCTACTAGATCCTTCGATAATCGTTCGACTATTCGGCGATCGATGGCGTTACTCTTACCGGCGTAACATTACTATTATTATTATTACGCTTCGACCTCAAGCCTCACGAGCAACGGTACTCGTGTCGTATCTACCCTCCAGTCGCCCTGACCTTATCGCGTTGTTGGCTAACATTGAGTACCATCAACATCATTATTTCTTCTTATTACCCTCTGCTGGGGTGTAGGGCTCGAATCAAATCCTTCCATTTACATTGGTCTTGGGCAGTCTGTTCTAGCTCCTCCCACGTCATGCCCAAGACACTTAACTCCTGCTCCACCGAGCGACGCCAAGTTGTTTTGGAGCGGCCTCTTTTCCTTTTGAGTACCATCGCCACAAGTTATTGATTTCTTCATGAAATTGTTCCAGGTGTATCACGCGGCCCTTCTGTACGACGTGCTTGCGCGTCTGCTCGCTGACGTCACCGAGAAGGGCATAGAGTGCGTGCTGGTGGCCCTGAGGGCGGTCGGCGGAGTGCTGCGGAAGGAGGAACCTCTCGCCCTCAAGAACTTCATACACGAGACGCAGGAGAGAGTGACGCGGCTCAGTGAGGACGCCGCCAGAGGGTGGGCACTGCTTCAATGTTCCGCACTCGACGTCCCAAATTCGAAATCAGGATTGTAAAACCACGCGTGTAAATAAGAAGAAATATATCCAGGCTGGGACCATACCCGATCTTGTGGACCGAATGGTAAACAGTCGACGTCGCCATAAACACATCATTACGGATCCTCCCGATCCACTAACCAGTGCTTTTAGGTACCACAAGCACCGGTCACCGTCCTCGTCGAACCCGTCGCTAGACGAAGGGCTCGACGAGTGAATTAACCCACAGACACAGTCCACTGAGTTTCTCGGTGGGTCGCGTTTCCGATCCGGTGGTAGATTCTGCGAGGCACTGCTCTTGCTAGGGCCAGTGTTAGCAATGCTCCCAGTTTGAGCTCCGTGAGCTTACCTACACGTCAAGGTGAAGCTGAAATAGCCTCTCAAGGCTATCAGCATAGGTAGGTAGGTAAAAAATAAATAAATGGGATGCTACCCACCGGCGATTCTTGCGAATCCCCCACCTCGCAGAATGAGGCGGTGGAACTCTTTCCTTTCTTTACCGCACCATACCTTTACCGCTGGGCCTGGAGGCAGAGGGGGGGGGTTCTCCAGCCTTGGTCTCTATGGGGGTGGAGAGGGCCGCGGGGCGCGCTGCAGTGTAGTTGTTTCCCGCGGCGTGCATACGGTCCCCCTAGAAGTCAGTAAAAAATGTCTCGTTAAATGTCGGCAGATTTATTAACAGGCCACAATTTCCCGCAGGTCTCGCATAAAGTTCCTGCTCGAAGTTCTAATGGCGGTGAAGAACAACAACCTCACCAAGATCCCGCAGTACGACCCCGCGTACGCAGAGCACTTGAGGAAGTCCATCAAGGGGATCATCAGGAAGGGGAACTACGTCACGACACTCAACATACGACTAGAAGACTTGTTGAAAGGTGAGACACGACGCCCGTCGCGGGCACGGCGCGCCAGCTATCTTGCGGAAGGCGAGAAGCTTGTATTTTGTTTCTTATAAAACTTGCAAACGTTGTTTGGAGATGAAGAGTTGGAGAAATAACGTCATATACGTGATTTAATGACCCGATATGATCCGGAGGTCTCCCCCAACCCCGCGTTCCTCACCCCCGCGTCCCCCTTCCCACGCCCTGCCGCCAGTAAAATGAGACGAATTATACTGACATCAGAAATATCCACGTCGTATGATGACGTATCTTGCAACGCTAGTGTAACTTTAATTAAACTCCCATCACATAGAACTTAATAAGGTATTATTGGCGAATTAAGTAATAAGGAATTAATTATTAACTAACACACATCATACGCAAAAATATCAATAGATATATTCGCACTGGTATTTGGATTAAAAAAATATGTAGTACTTTTACTGATGGTAGGGTGTCTTGTGAGTCCGCACGGGTAGGTACCACCGCCCTGCCTGTTTCTGCCGTGAAGCAGTTACGTGTTTCGGTTTGAAGCGTGGGCCAGCCGTTGTAACTATACTGAGACCTCAAGGTGGGTGGCGCACTTACGTTGTAGATGTCTATGGGCTCCGATGACCACTTAACACCAGGTGGGCTGTGAGCTCATCCACCCACCTAAGCAATAAAAAAAAACATGATGAACGCGTTATGTTAATTGCAGCCGATGAGAGAGGTAAGTGGTGGGTGGTGGGGTCGGCGTGGGAGGGCGGGGCGCGGCAGGGGGAGGCGCGGCGGGAGGACGCGCGGCCGCCGCCCTCCGTCGACCAGAAGCTGCTGGAGCTCGCGCGGAAACAGAGGATGAACACGGACGTCAGGAGGAGCATCTTCTGCGTCATCATGTCTGCAGAGGCAAGTGATAGATCATTTTTTTTGTTAACACTTGGGGGCCTATAGGAAATTCTGAGCTGCTCTTGAGCTGTCAGGTCTCCTTCGGAGGCGTTCGGGCAGCTGTTAGCAAACCCCATCCCTCCTGGCTGAACCTTTGCTCGCCCACCTGTCCTGGTGAAACTGGAAAGGCCTCCGGGCCACCAGTAATCCTTCAATCATAAAAAAAGAAGGAAATTCTGTGCTTGGTATTGAAAAAAAACACAATTTCAAGTTTGGATGGTAATTCTTGCTGAAAAACATTGATGCTTAAATCGATTACAAGGCAAAACCTTCAAAAACTACGCGTCGGTCAGTCATCTTTGGTTTTCGCGAATTTTAGATATATGTACGTAATTAAAACTAGCTATGAGTTCATTCCTATTCAATATAGAAGATATGACGGTAGTCGGCATAATATTCATACATATAACATTGCAGTCATCCGTGAGAACTGTTCGAAATGTCGAACATAATAAATTCGAGACCAAACCATGGCGTTAGTTTTAATTTTTGTTCGGCGAAATCTATAGTCTCCCCTCCACGGTGTTCCCCTCGCATTACGACATGTCCTTCTTCGAACGAGGATTGTGGAGAGTGGCTATCGTAGGAAACGACTGTGCCGTAAGCGACGATGACCATTCAACATAAGGCGGGTCGTATGCTCACATAATACTGATCCTAATGGTCTTAATACATTCCCGATCCTGCGGACAGAATGGAAAGCAGTCGACGTCGCCCCAAACACGTCATTTCGGATCCTCCCGATCCGCTAACGGTGCTTTTAGGTACCTCAAGCACCGGTCATCGTTCTCGTCGAACCCGTCGCTTGCGACGAAGGGCTCGACGAGTAAATTAACCCTCAGACACAGCCCACTGAGTTTCTCGCCGGATCTTCTCAGTGGGTCGCATTTCCGATTCGGTGGTAGATTCTGCGAAGCACGGCTCTTGTTAGGGTCCGTGTTAGCAACGTCGTCAGGTTTGAGCCCCGTGAGCTCACCTATTAGTTAAGGTTACGCTGAAATAGCCCCTCAAGGCTATCAGCTTAGGTAGGAAAAAAAAGGTCTTAATATTGCGCTCTCATCACCGCGCGCCCTTAATACAGTGGGTCCTTATCCGGGGACAGTAAGGGGACAGTAATATCGTCTTCTCCAGGACTACATGGATGCGTTCGAGAAGCTCCAGCACCTGGGCCTGCGGGGGCAGCAGGAGCGGGAGGTGGCGCACGTGCTGCTGGCCTGCTGCCTCCAGGAGACCACGTACAACCCGTACTACGGCGTCCTGGGACGGAAGCTGTGCGAGTTTGACAGGAAATATCAGGTATCTATACTAATCTATACTATAATATTATAAAGAGGAAAGATTTGTTTGTTTGTTTGTATTTAACAGGCTCCGAAACTACTGAACCGATTTGAAAAAAATTTTCGCTGTTTGGAACCTACATTATTCCCGAGTGACATAGGCTATAATTTTTTTTGAAAAAAATCTATACTAATATTATAAAGAGGAAAGATTTGTTTGTTAGTTTGTATTGAATAGTATCCGAAACTACTGAACCGATTTGAAAAAAAAACTGTTTGGAAGCTACACTATTCCCGAGTAACATAGGCCATAAATCTTTTTTGAAAAAAATTTGGGATCCCTACTAAAACTTCAATAATGTAACCCAAGGTGTAAACAAATTACCTAAAATATTCTTTACATCGCGTGCCCTGCAAAAACTATTGATGACAGAATAAAATAATGTAGGTACTACGACTTTGTAGAACACATTATTATATACAAAAAGTGTCGCGACAGCATATGTAAGCTAACTATTATAGTTATGCCGCAATAAGTGTTCTTTTATATAAAAAAATAAAACAACGTCAAACATCGTGGAAATTTTTGTTAAAGAGCCGAGCGGAGCCGAAGCGGACCGCTAGTTGTATAATAGACCTCGGAGCGGTCCGAGTAATCACTGTGGCTCACGGACATCACCAATGCTCATTGGTCGCCGTTAATTCTTCAGCTTTGAACTAGTAACCTTCAACCTCTATGCGCTCTAAAAAGACTTAGATGAAATGTGTGAGGGACGATATGTGAGGGAAGGGAGTGAGCGCAGTGATGACGTATGATATAAGCTGAATGGAAAAGAGGACGTCCTTTGCCGAGCCTGGGATAAAGGCAAGAAGAATTAACGTCAGTGCCGAACCGCGTGGCAGATATTAATTTCCCTCAGGATATATGCATTTGACAACACGAGCTACCGAACGACTCTAAGGAATGAACGAATAAGGTCTAAAATCGTGTAATAAAAATCAAAGTTTATAAATTTGCATAATCACTGAGCGCATTGTGAGCATTGCCTGGACAGCCGTTACACAATGAGACTTGCACCTCATGTGTCAACGTGGGCGACTGGAGTCACGTGCTGATGTCCCGGGCCTCCGTTAGTAACTCAACACCCGTCACGTCGGGAGTTCGTTCACTCTGAGCAATAAAAACCTTTTCTTTCAGCTATCCATACAGTTCACGGTGTGGGACAAAATAAAGGACATAGAGAACCAGTCGAAACAGGCGCTAACGAATTTAGCGCAGTTCCTCGTTCATTTAATTATGGAGAAGGGCCTGGCGCTCTCGGTGCTCAAGGTAAGACTCCGCTTCGGGCTCCGCTGGCCGCCTAACGCCGACCAGACCAGGGCTTGCGATACTTTAATATAAATATTTTTTCCATGTGGAAACTAACGACATCTTGTAGCGGATGCCCCTAAACTTGTATGCTGTTAAAGTTAAGGCATTTAATTAATTGTGTAACTAAACACAGAAAATTAAAAAATTCAAAACGTACAAATCTTTATTTGTTCTGTACAAATTGATTAGATTTTATCAATTTGTGGTTTCTGAAAACTTACAAAATCCTTCATTAGTAATAAAATATAGGATACTACGTTACTGCCATCTACAGGAGCAATGAGAAACTAATCGAAGCGAAGCCATCTAGTGGCCGATGCTCGTAAACATTATTGTCGAGTGCTTGAGTTGCTTATCCAGTAAGTCTACAACGTAAATGCGCCACCCACCTTGAGATATAAGTTCTAGGGTCTCAGTATAGTTGCAATATACAGTTACAGTATAGTTACGTGGTGCGATGACCTCCGAGCGGTGGCCGGCAAGAAGTGGATGAGGAGAGCCGTAGACCGGGCTCAGTGCTGTGGGTTGGGAGAGGCCTATATCCAGCAGTGGACGACTGTGGGCTGCTGATGATGATGATGTGTATTATCCTATGGACCAGGACTTTTTGGCGGGAACGCGAGGGGCGTGAAGTTGTGCGATTTGTTTTATTTTGTCTATTTAGTGTTTCTTCAGGTTTAAATGTGTAATAACGGTGGTTTATTAACTGTTTAATATCTGTGAAAGTGCACAAATGTGGGAAAATGAAACAAAGCCGTTGGACGTAACTTCTCGGGATCCTCCAAAAAGTCCACTGAAAAAATCTCAGTAAACGACCACCATTCTACTGAGATTATATTTCATCTCATATCATCTCGTCTCATTTCATTTCATGCCATGCCATTCCATGCCATGCCATGTTTCATATTAATCAGCTTCATTTCATTTCATAATATCATATCATATATTTATTTATTTATTTATTTATTTATTTTATTTATTTATAAATATATATATATATAAAAGATTAGGCTGTATGGTGCCTTTCGATACCTTTGCCTTTCCATTTGGAAAAATAAAACTACTATACTATCTATGGAGCAGACTAACCAGACCGTGCTCGTCCACAGATCATCCAGTTCTCGGAGCTGAGCAAGCAGTCGGTTCGCTTCATGCGGCAGGTTCTGCTGTCGATCATAATGAACGAAGACGTGGCCTCGTCGCTCGAGGTGTTCCAGCGGGTGGCCCGGCCGCCCAAGCTGCACGTGTTCAGGGAGAGCCTGCGGCTGTTCATCCAGCACTTCCTGGTGAAAACCGCGGGCCGCAGCGGCGCCCTGGGGCCGCACGACGCCGCCGCGCTCGCCCTGCGCGCCGCCGACGTCGACGCGATACTCACCCGGCACGAATCTAAGCTTAAGCTGTGAATAAACTTAATGCTCTTTATTTGTGTGTTATTTTTTATTTGATCACCCGAGATTGACCTTAACCAACCCACTGAGTTTCTCGCCGGATCTTCTCAGTGGATTCGAGTATATTATTATTTTGTATTTATATTTATTTAAAATCTTATTAATTACATAATATTTTTTAAAAAAGATATTAAAAGTACAATTTTTTAAAAACACTATATAAAAATAGATTGGCGCTGATGGCGGTATCTACGACACAAGCCACCAGTGGTTAGGACTCCACAGTGAGAAACCTCCTCACAATGCGTGCAGTATCGAGGATAACTGCTTTCTGTATTAGGCCCTTAACCCAGCTGGATAACGAAAGTTTGTTAAGATGTTGATCGAAACTTTTCACTATCAAGCCGTGTAATATTATTATTAAATTCTTTTATTTCATATAATGATCCATATAAATGTTGGTAACAGTGATTTCTTAAAAATAAGTTAGTAAGGACACAATAATAAAAGAAAACAACAACATATATACTACATACGATTACAATAGCGGCACTACGAGCGAATTTTATGGACCTCTCTGCAATGATTCAGAAAAGGTCCATCTAATCTTTTTTTTTTTATTGCTTAGATGGGTGGATGAGCTCACAGCCCACCTGGTGTTAAGTGGTTACTGGAGCCCATAGACATCCACAACGTAAATGCGCCACCCACCTTGAGATGTTAGTTCTAAGGTCTCAGTACAGTTACAACGGCTGCCCCGCCCTTCAAACCGAAACGCATTACTGCTTCACGGCAGAAATAGGCAGGGTGGTGGTACCCACCCGCGCGTACTCACAACAGGTCCTACCACCAGTAATTACGCAAATTATAATTTTGCGGTTTTAATTTTTATTACACGATGTTATTCCTTCACCGTGGAAGTCAATCGTGAACATTTGTTGAGTACGTATTTCATTAGAAAAATTGGTACCCGCCTGAGATTCGAACACCGGTGCATCGGTCAACACGAATACACCGGACGTCTTATCCTTTAGGCCACGACGACTTCAACGGTCATGATATTTTCTAGATTCTAGAATTCGAAGAAATCCTGTCCGAAAGCAAAAGATTTTATCTCGGGAGATGAAGATAGTACCTAGAACCATGTCGCGCATTTTAAAAGATGACTTAGGACTTGCAGCCTATAAGAGACGTACTGGTCATTTCTTAACTGATAATCTAAAAGAGAATAGGGTGGTAAAATCGAAACAACTACTGAAGCGGTACGCAAAGGGAGGTCATAGAAATTTTTTGTTTACGGATGAGATTTTTTTTACAATTGAGCAACATTTTAACAAACAAAATGACCGTATTTATGCTCAAAGCTCTAAGGAAGCTTCCCAATTTAGTCGACAGAGTGCAACGTGAGCACTATCCGATTTCAGCGATAGTTTGGTGGGGTATTAGCTATGAAGGAGTGACTGAGCCATACTTTTGTGAAAAAGGTATCAAAATATCGGCACAAGTGTATCAAGATACCATTCTTGAGAAGGTAGTGAAGCCCCTTAACAACACCATGTTAAATAATCAAGAATGGTCCTTCCAGCAAGACTCGGTGCCAGGTCATAAAGCTCGGACTACGCGGTCTTGGTTGGAAACGAACGTTTCAGACTTCATCAGAGCTGAAGACTGGCCGTCGTCTAGTCCCGATCTTAATCCGCTGGATTATGATTTATGGTCAGTTTTAGAGAGTACGGCTTGCTCTAAACGCCATGATAATTTGGAGTCCCTAAAACAATCCGTACGAATGGCAGTGAAAAATTTTCCCATGGAAAGAGTGCGTGCTTCTATTGATAACTGGCCTCAACGTTTAAAGGACTGTATTGCAGCCAATGGAGACCGCTTCTAATAAGCTTTTTGTACTTTAAATATTTATGTTTTATATTTATTTATTAAACTAACACACTGTAAAAGGAATAAATGTTATTTGCCATAGAATATTTTTTCCTTTGTCTCAGTATTTATGGCAAGACTAGGTACATAGAATTGTATTGTGGTAAAGAATAGATTTATTTTCTGTAATTACTGAGACTCGTACATATAATATTTGGACAAAACATGTGAACGCGTCGACGTACCAAGTATAGCTATAACAAAAATAAAATCGCATTCCTAAACTGTCACAATGGACTTAAACGAGATTAATGAAAATATTTAAACATTTTTGCTTCTCATCAAACTGTCAGATTCTAGATAATTTATTAATTTATTAGCCGCTAACGCCTACAGTCTAAATTCAGTTTTATATTTTAACACATAAGTCGATAAACTTCAACTTAAAGCGCGACCTGAAATCAATTTAAATATATAATAAAAAAAGTTAATTATTAATTCTTTTATCACGAATGTTCAGCAATTTTTTAATAAAAATCGGACATATATTTAAACGGTAGGTTTTATGTTTTAAATTTAGAATTTCAGACTAATCTACACATTTAAATGCTAGTAATGTCGTTGACCTCTTGTGTTTTATGCTTAGTATAATTTTAAGACGAGTTGTTAGGGGATTTATTATGATAACAGTCTATTAGACTGGAGATACGAGTCTGATATTCCAGCTTTTCTGAGCTGTCGGGAAAGCAGTCGATTCTCATCATCGGCCTATCGATTACCATGCTGAAAGGGTGGTTATGCACCTATGTAACGGTTTTCAGTCAGTTCCCGTGCTCATCTTGAAGAGTGACGGAGTTCGCACACTTTGGTACCTCCGCCCAGCCTAATTCTGTCTCAAAGGAATGCCCAGTGAAAGTGTATTTATTGTGTGTATTGCATATTTTAACTATCCGCGGTCTTAAAGAGACGACGACTGATGTTTATTGCCGGTTCTCAAATCTCGCGGCCAACAAGTACCTACTTAACAGTTTTTACGTATGTACGATTCGCAATTTGCGCCGCTCGCGTTATGGCTTTTTTATTCTAGTAACCTCGAGGGGTTATTCCAGATTCACCGAACTAGTAGGTGAACTCGCGGGGCTCAAACCTTGACGTTGTTCTTCTTCTTCTTCTTCCACTGCCTCTTCACTATGGAAGGCAATGATAATAATGAAGAGAATGGCGTCAGGAATGCTGACGTCATCATTTTAAAAACACCATAGAACCAGTCACTACGTCATATATATTTATTTAAACTTATATAATATCTGTATCAGTCTCTGGCCTACCTATAATACAGGGAATCCTAATATCGGGCCGGATGACCACGCGTGATTTGTTCCCAGTTATTATTTATATTAAACGGGTACTCAATCACACAGACTGTAGACACCACGATGTCACGAATATCACCACCCTTCCTAGAATATTAAGTGAAACCGTCAATTGAACAGGAAAAATGATCGTTTGGGAGTGTCTTTGTTCGGGAATTCACGGCTACAATCAAGACGTTACACGAATCTATCAATTACATCTAGCTGTACTATCAATACTCAAGATAGGTACTGAGGCGATGAATAGATGACGCGATGTCTAAATCTTCATTTGTCTGCTTAGTGCGAGTTTTTTTACGTTCTCGATAGCGTAAAAGTTAACTCAAATTTGTATGCAGTTGGACTAGCGTCCCTAGCAGCAAACGTAAGCAATTTTTTTTTCCTATCTATGTTGATAGCCTTGAGAGGCTATTTCAGCTTACCCTAGCGTATGTAGGTGAGCTCACGGGGCTCAAACCGGAGAGTTGCTAACACTGACCCTAGCAAGAGCAGTGCTTCGCAGAATCTACCATCGGATCGGAAACACGACCCACTGAGAAGATCCGGCGAGAAACTCAGTGGGCTGTGTCTATGGGTTAGTTCGCTCTATAAGCCCTTCGTCGCAAGCGACGGGTTCGACGAGGACGGTGACCGGGTCGTAGGCAAACGTTTCAACTCCATACAAACTTGTGTTAAAAAAAAAACTAGCACTAAGCACACTAAAGTCGAGGTCGGACCGATTTTTTGCCGAAATTGCTTCTAATGTCACTTCGAGCGAGCGACCATATTTAGAATACCAAACTAACATAATTCATTAGGAATATAGACATGTTAAAAAGAAATAAAATATTTAAAGATCAATTAATGATAAGTAATGTTACTCGCGCAGATGAGCGATAAAATCACCGTTACCACTGTTTATTTAAATACCTACCACACATACAAAGATTATAGGAAGCATAAAATTGTTATTTATTTATTTATTTATAGCCGTTGTTAACAATCTAATTTTAGTTACATTTTTAATACACTTATTATCTATAGTTTTATTATTCGACACCGGTTTCTTGATCGTCGTGCTGTACAGCATAGGCCTCCCCAAGGATAAAATGCGCCATTTTGAGAAGGCGGCACGACATGAGAACCCTCTCATCGTAGCCGCTGGAAATTACATACCTGACCCAGTAGACCGAATGGTAAACCGTCGACGTCGCCCAAAGCACGTCATTACGGATCCTCCTGATCCATTAACGATGCTTTTAGGCACCACAAGCACCGGTCACCGTCCTCGTCGAAGCCGTCGCTTGCGACGAAGGGCTCGACGAGCGACCTAACCCATAGACACAGCCCACTGAGTTTCTCGCGGGATCTTCTCAGTGAGTCGCGTTTCCGATCCGGTGGTAGATTCTGCGAAGCACTGCTCTTGCTAGGGTCAGTGTTAGCAACTCTCCGGTTGAGCCCCGCGAGCTCACCTACAAACGTTAGGGTGAAGCTGAAATAGTCTCTCAAGACTATCAGCATAGGGAGGATAAAAAAAAAAGAAGGATAAAATTGTTGTGCGTTACACTAAATAACTAGTCGAACAATAATCACTAAATTATATATGACGGAGCTGGCTGGTTCCTTGGCGTTTTTTAAATGATGACGTTGCTGATGCCTCTGGCATTGCTGAAGTCCATGGGCGACGGTAACCACTCACCATTAGGTGGGCCGTATGCTCGTCTGCCTACAAGGGCAACAAAAAAAAACTTCAATTAAACAAAATTTTTTAAAGTAAAACCTTTTTCTCCTATACATACTA